GTCGGGATCGGCCCCGTCGTCAGAAGCGGGGCGATCTCTTTGTAAAACCGGACTTCTCGCTCGTACAGCCCAGAGTTGATCCCAAAGGATTTGCAGTCTGCGTCGAGGGATGCCATTTTGGCCACCACCGAAGCCGGACCTGCTCGGGTCTTGGGGCCATACTCGAGCTCAATGCGGTACACCTCGCCAATTTGGCCTGTGCCAATTCGGATAGGCTTCGCATTGACCACGTCGAAGCCAAGGGCCTTCGAGAGCCACTGCGGCGACAGTTCAAAGTGAGCGGCAACCATGACTACGCAAAGGAAGGTGGTCTCATGGAAAACGTTCTCTCCAGGCCGGATCCTCCGCCACTTTTAGATGTCCATGCGCCCGCGTGATCCTGGCCTGGGAGTCCGGGCGGGGTCGCGACACTCGCAAGCATTTGATCCCATCGCGATGGAGTTTGCCTAGGATATTGGGTTATTTGCGGGGTTCGATGTAAATACCACTTCGCTACCGAGGCCGAGGTACGCACCGAGTAGACAAGGGTGTGCGATCAGGCAATGAGAAGAGGTGCATTCTGGAATGGCTCTGACTGATACATGTTGACTCAGGAAAACTGAGATGAGTTGTCATTGGCATGCATACGTGCCGGATAGGCTCTAACCCAATGATGCTGTAACTCCGTCCACTTAGCGCAGAGTGCATGGAGTTTGTTGTATAGGACGTTTTCTACGGGAGATATAGAGGAGGAGGAAGTCTAGCTTCAAAAAGAGACCTCCAAACCCATTTGATTGCGGTCTTATAACATAAACTCCCAGATCTCAAGCCGTTTTCCTTTCGGTGAAAACAAGGTTCAGGGGCGGACAGGCAAGAGTAAATCCATCAGTCATATCCCGAGTGAACTTGGCCGGATCCTCCCCTTGTGCCAGAGCGAAGTCATACTGATGCACTACGTACGCCGTGACATATCGAAGCTCCATCAGGGCGAGTTGTTTTCCAATACAGCTATATGGTCCTGGTATTGGCAGTGTCTTGTCAGCCGACTCTGCCCCAACAGGATCTCTCCCACTTTTAACAGTGGCGGATGATCAGAGTCCAGCACCATCGTGGTGGACTTACCGTACGAGAAGGGAACAAAAACCGAAGCATCCACGGTCAATTCGGGTTTTGTGGTCCATCGTTCAGGAATAAACTCTTCGGGTTTTTTGAAATTTCGCTCGTCTGTCACGAGGATTAGAGTGAGCTGTCTGGACTCGGCGCCGGGGTTATCATAAAGGATGAGAATCTACCTTTGAACAAAGTGTAGAAGGGAACATATACAATCGTGTTCCCGGGAACAAATGTCTCACCGATCATCATGCCCTCAGGGGGAGTCAACCGCTGAACGCCTGAGGGCACGGGAGGGTGAAGACGCAGTGCCTCGTTGATGACAGCATCTAGATGCTTGCTCTTGGACAGTGCGACAGAGTCAACCTCTCCAGACTCAAATAGAGGGTCCACGTGTTTCCGGAGTTCGGTCAGTAAATGCGGCTCTGTGGCTAGGTGGAAGAAAAGTGTGGTCAGGGTCGAGGCAGTGGTATCGCTAGAGTGGCTCAATTAGATAAGAGTCTTGATAGCCACGTTTGCCTGCACTTTATAGAGTGTGTGTATTACCTTCCAGCAACGACAATCAAATAGGCATCTGCTTGAAGATTCAGCAAGCCTTGGGCCGTCTTCGGCTCTTGCTTTTCGTATTCTTCAAGCAGATATGAAAATACGTCCGGTTTGTCTGGCTTCATCTAACGCAGCTCAGTTAGAAAGAGAAGTTGCTCTGGCAACATGATTGAAACCCCACCTTCATTCTCTCATCCACTTGACCATTGACGAAATTCCAGAATCTTTTATGCTCAAAATTGAGGATCGGTATCGACCTGAAGATCGGGGCTACCCAAACAACGTGTTTAAAATAGCCTGCCATGGTCATGTTGGTCTTCAGGGAATTCATGAAGTAATGCTTGACGCCGTTTTTGACCATGTCGAATGATTTTCCGAATGCGAGGTCGCCCATGACGTCGAAACTGTAAAAGTTGAACCAGTCGGTGACATTTAGTGGTTTACCCTTTTGAGCCTCTATGGCATTCATCAAACCCGTGGTGTATGAGACCACTCGGGGCTCATAATCGCGAAGGCCTGGGAATTTCACACACATTAGCCTGAAACGAACCGAGTTGCCTGAGTGGTTCAAGCAGGAATTACTTTTGGCGCCGAATCCTCGATCCCAAACTTTCCTTCGCTGAGAGTGCTCTTGCTTGTCTCGGCTGTTCTGAAGAGCCACCCGTGGTCGCATTCCAGTGTACCAGGGTCCTTTCGTGCAGGGAGTCTGAGCTGAATTGACTGCTTGAACGGCGCGAGGATCAGCAATTGACAATTCCATTGGTCCTGATAAACGGTCAGTGCCCGGATTTTGATGCCTATGTTGGCCGGTAAGATGTTACCAAGTCTCACAAAATCCCCATACTGTCTGTGCAAGGCCTGCACTTCTTCGTAGAGATGCAATTTGGACCTCACAGAAAGCGATGTCGGATATATGGTGGACAGCCGCGCCCAAAAGGGCCCGGGAAACCTGGAGAGCCGGTGGAAGAATCCACGATATATCAAAATGCTGGTGAAGGTGCCCACCAGAGCGCATATACCTAGAGCTGACACATGGAGCACTGCAAATAGAATGGCTTTCAAGGATGGCGCATAGGCAGTCAAAAATCCAAGGAGAAGTAATTGTGTGGTGAAAAAGGCTGAGATCAAAGCCGGTGCAGATGTGTCCCATTCGCCATAACGAAACAGCGTCAGATGGAGGATGACACCCAACAGCACTGCCCACAGATAGCTCTGTGGTGACTGGAGAAGCGCAAGGAAATCCATGATCTGAACCGGGTAGAGAAAGGGTCTTCCACCGGAGGACCACAACGACGGATGGAGATGGATAGAAAAGGCATCAACATTCATTAATACAGCTTCACAAGGAGGCAGTGTTGCCTACCGAGGTAGCGTATCTCGTGCCCAGTTAGTCGGCATAGTTGACATCGTGCACTTGACGTCCGCCTGCAGGGCCAACCGCCGCTATCCAGACGCGGCATGGAGGGTCGTCGTCTACAGGCCAATCATGGTGGATGTCTCGTGTCAGCAAGTCTGAGCGTAAAATGCGGGGGCGAAGCTTGGTTTTATCCGAGGATACGGGGTATTAGAAGGCGTACGCGAATCTTCGAGCCGGACTTATGCCGCTATACTTGCAGGAGCATTTTCACCTCATCAAAGAGTGCCAAGATGGTGAGTGCTGAGTAGGCAGCCTGGAACGTGATAGCATTGAACCTGGTCATCCTGGTGAGCCCAGATTCTGACCCCAACGTTCGCCATAGTCTCTAACACAGTTTCAAAGAAGGCCTGCCCTCTCCAACATCGTGGATAACTATGGTTGTACCTCCGGTAGCAAGTTCAAGCTTTTGCTGAACAATTATGAACGCAGCTTGACTGACGGAACAAAGCCAATCTGCTACTATCCGACCACTTAGCCATCCCCATCAAGCAACACGTCCATCATCATCATGCAGTCTGCGTTACACCGGCAAGCTCCAGTCATGCGCCATTATCCAAGCCATCCACGCTGTTCGAAGGTAGTAATGGTCTGATCAAGGTGACGGGTGCCCGTAAAAGCCTCGACTCGTTGAGAGAGGGTTTGTAACTGAGGAGCCGGCCCCGTCCTGATTCTGGACCTCGGAGCCTCGACGAAGTTCTGACAGTTGTTTCTGAATAGGTTGTATTCACCCGCCTCCAAGACAAGCCATGTGGCTGGGAGTTGGAATGGTCAGAGAACTTTCATGCTATGGAGTGAGAAGGAATGTGGTCAAAGCTTCCGCCACGATATGCTCGATATCATAAGTTGTTCCGAAGTCCCATTGCTTGTCGCGACCATCAGGACACGGGAAGGATGTCTCGTCAAGTGCGCAGTAACTGTTCTCTTTTCGGATCAGACCCAGGTACTGCCATGTCTTAGGCTGGAACCAGACGCCTTTGCCTGGCTCGATCTAAGCATTTTCGTGAGCGTCATGAGGGGCAGATGATTTCAGAGCGACGAACATCGACTCGTAGGGCCCAGTGAGAGACCATTGGCGACGGATTATTGTTGTAAGTGCCAGGGGTGTCTACCCTGACTCCCTTGATGAAGTCAAAAGCGTTTTTGATGAAATGGGACCCCTTCTTTACCGTTTTTGACGAGGGGATTGCATGACTGGCGCAGTGCAAGGGCGGACCAGATGAACCTAAAGCACGAAGTTCTCTCCAGACCATCTCGACTCTGCGAATAGGAGTGGTATCCATTACAATGAGATGGGCTGTAGGAAACTGGGTAGTGGGTATGAACCGATTTCGTTGCCTTGTGTCGATAACATCGCTCTATGTTTATACGTGACGAGTTGTGAAGCTCACTATCCGGTGCAAGGCGCCGGATAGCCCTTGGGCCTTCTGAAGTCAGCCCCATGAAGCAACCAAAAGTAAGATATGCGCCCAAGTATTACTAGGAAACTCGTCTGACGTGGTTGTCTAGTTTTCCGGCTTCAGCCTCATCACGCAACTAGTATGTTGAATATGATACCGAAGAATACTGGGAATCCGCATGAATAAAATAGCTGTGCCTATTCTCAAGGATATGATGAACCTTTTTGCTATTGGCTAAAAATGTCTAGGCCTGTCGATGTTGCCTTACCGTGTCGTATAGGCGGAGTCGTTGAGATAACGTGGACGTTCGTCTTCCCTCTTAGACAAGGCACAGGATCAGTATCTTACTCTTCTGCGAAAGCCTACGGTTTCTCACCTTGGTGCGGGAGGATCTGGTAAAACTAGACAAGCATCATGCGTCGAAGTCCAGGGATATTTGTACGAAGATCATCTGGCTTCAACCCGTCAAGGTCACCGGCTTGTTGAACAAAGTCAGGATGCAACACAGGCTCTTTCATTCCGCTACATTCTAATAACCGCTCATCTAAGCACTATACTGTATGCGCCCTGCGATGCCGTGGAGCTGGAGCCCTTCTACCCGAGAATTCCAGTTCGGTCGAACGTGCGATATCCTGTTCATGTGCGAGGGACCTCACATCCGTTGCGATAATCGTCATCAACTCTGTGCTCAGTCTCTCTCGGAGCGCCCGAGAATCGACCATCCGTGCTTTGATTTGCTGGACAAGCGCCCGTGATGCTTCCAATCGTAACCTTTCATTTTTCAGCATCGATCTGGCCTTGTCCACCTTCTCCGCCAGCTTCTGCATCTTTCCTGCGGCTTCTTGCTCTTTTGCACCCAAATCAAGCCCCTCCGCTATCAAATCCTCGAGCCTCAGCTTCCGCGCTTCCAACTCGGTCAATCTCTCTGCCAGTTTTGCCTTTATTTCTTGCGCCTTCACCACTGCCACTAGCTTCGTGCGGACATCCTGCTCCTCCATTTTGTTGTCTCGTTTCATCGCCTCGAGCTCTTCTCCGGCTGATCCGTCTTGGATCGTTCCCAATTCTTGCGCCGGGGACATTTCTTTTATTCTCGTCCTCCGCTCCTCCACCTTCGCTAATGCTTCTGGCTGCCGCATTAATATTTTTGTCGCCTCCAGTTCTGCCTCTTCAAGCTTCGCCTTCATCCCACGCGTTTCCAATAAACTCTCTTCGAGCTCGGTCTTTTCTGCTTTTATCTTCTCCGCCCGGTCTTGTTGTTGAACTAGCATCCTGCCTCGCATCTCTTGAAGCCCTGTATAATCCTTCAACATCTCTCTGATTGCTTGCATCTTCGCTTTGATCACCTCCACGAATTCTCGGATCTTCTCATTCTCATCCGCAACTGCTATCGACTGCTCCTTTACTTCGGCCTTCACCTTTATCAACATCGCATCTGGACTTTTGAACTTCTCAGGTCGCAGCACTAAATAGGGCTTGCCCCATGTCTCCTTTGCAGCATTCTAAACATCCTGGTGAAGGGCTTGACATCGAAGCCATTGGCAGCGCCCAAACTTGGTGTTTCAGCGCCGGAATCTCGACGCCTACCTTCATCCCGGTCCACGTGACCTCGCGCCGCTTTGGCCCAGGCTCGCTCACGCCTGGCTCAACTTCGGCTCAGGGCCTGCTTGGCCAGCTCGCCCTGCTTACTACATCGGGGCAGTGACCCAAGTTCTCTCCCTCCTTCAGACTGTCAAGCTTTAACGAGGGCCCAAAGGAGGGCTCTAGGGGGTTCTCGGGAAGGCACCCTGATCTTTCTTAACATCTAGTAAAATGATTCCTTCTCCCTCAACCGCTGGATTCTTTCCTGCTGACCGGAGGAGCAGACTCACGTGACCTGTGCAAGCTGCTGAGTGCTCCGCCAAGTTGCTGCACTCAGCCGGGGTGTCGTGTCTAGTCATGCCTCACCAGCAGAAAGGTTCCTGTCTAGATTCAAGCGCCTCGGGCTTGTCCTCCTCTTGCTGATTCCCGAGTCCGGAGGCGTGAGTAACCTTTGCGGTGCAGACGCTCTTCGCCTATGATTAGGATCTAGACTATCTTCGTCCTCGAGTGTCAGGTCGATGATTTCTTTAGAGCGAAGCGGAACAATCGGCGAGGACTGAACAGCAGCGTCGAGAGTTGGCCGGTCTGTACGTGCTTGGATATTTGACACTTTGCGCCGAGACCGGGGTTTGCGTTGCAAGACCTTGGGCTCAACGGGATCCAAAACAAGGCCATCATCCGGCTCCCCTTCCCTTCGTTGGCGAGGGTATTTCGCGCCAGAGCCACCTCTCCGAGCTTTGGGTTTCAAAGGTGTCTCTTCTTCTGCATCACAAATATTCTCGCTAGAGCTGGCTGGGGATGATGTCAACGACGTTGGAAGACTGGGAGAGGGTGGCATGGTTGCTGGGGACGGAAGAGGAGAAGACGGAGCCGTGGTCTTCGCGCTTGATGTTGCAGGAAAGAGTAGTCTACGAAAACTTCCAGGTTCCGAGTCGAGAGGCGTTAGCGGGAGCGTGATTTCGGGCGTTTCCAGAACTCTGTTGGCGGATTCTTCTGGAGACGTTGCATTGGTGGGCTCCCCGTCTATCTTTTCAGGTTCCAAATGAGTATCGCTAGCCTGGTTCTGCAGAATTGTCTGCACCTCTGTCGAATGGTCTTCAGCCTCCTTCGTCTGGAGAGCCTGCAGTATGTCCGCAGGAGGAGTCGTTTTGCGAGCAGGTTTGGAAAGGAAGACGTCGAGGTCAAGCCATTCTCGGTTGCTGGAATTACGGAGAAAGAGACTCACATGATCCGGGATGACTTTTTGTTCTCCAGACGGGGAGGTGTCGCTAAGGAACATTCCTGTTAAGTATTCATGGCTGAGTGTGATGCCTCGATAGGGTGTCAGCGTTGTGATCCAGTTAACCCAGTATTTAATAACTCTTTCCGCTTCATCAATGCTGATCATGAAGTATTCCCTATGGGTTGTCCCACAGCGGCAGAAAATCTCATATCGGTCTTTGCCCAGGTCCGAAAATACAAGTGACTCGACTCGGTTGGCATGCTTCGTCCTATAAAAAATGTTATGCAGCTTATAGTTCTTTTTCTTGCACGAAGCGGTCCACTGTGCGCAACGTCTCTCGGGCGTCTCCTGCTCGGTCGAGTGGCCGATCTTCAGCAAGTTCTCATGATCTGGATCAAATAGGATGTAAATGAAACCGGCTTTGAGCTCTTTGGAGTTGAGCGGCTTCGCAATTATCGAATGTAAGGGGCTTCTTTCCGGCGAACGCCAGTAACTGCGTTGGTTGTATGACACATCTTGACCCTTTGGAAATGACGGCGAGGACTCCCGAGAAGGGGTGGATTTCCCTCTCGCACGGTTACGGGTGGCGTCCAACTGCTTGCTTTGTGGAACTGATTGAGAGCCTGAGGGAGTTAATGCTTGCCTCAAGACGTCGTCAGGGATTTCCGATGGCTCGTCTTCAGCCTCAATGGGGGGATGTCCAGTAGGCCGATGCCGTAATAGCCTGGTGGCAAAGAAAAAGATAAATGACGATCTGAATGAGGCATCCTTCAACTCTGTCTCCCATCTCTTCGCCATGCCAGTCACGTTTTCCTCAACAATCTGGTGTTTTTGGCAGTGGCAGAGCTGAGAGTAGTAGTGTAGCATTGAACGCAGTGGCGCATCGTCCAAGTTGCATGATAGGAGTACATCGCCCAGCATTGCTGCGAAGTGGGCCGCTTGTCTAAGAATGCCATTGTCGCACCTTCTCTTCTGCTTTGGAATAAAATGAATGCATTTGAAACCGGGGTCCCAGGTGCGGAAAATCTTTATGGATCGCTCCAAGTCGTAAAAGAATTGCTTTCTTAGCTTTTCGACCAGCTCTGGCCACAGATAGTAGTTTAAACTGACAGACAGCGACAAAGATGCCAACAGGATCGAGTAAATGAGTAATGGCATGGCAAACAATGCACAAGGGAAAGCACAAGGGAGAGCATTGAAAGACAGGGAGAGAAGCACTTGGCCTCCGTGTTATACTGATTTGGGCGGCAATTTCGACTCAGAAAATGGCCTGGCTGGGTAGTTGCTGCTCGAGCTACGACCATGCAGGTAGAGTAGCCTCGACAAGGGCATGCATGAGCATGCGACCTGGTGGCTGTTTCAACCCTGGCACATGCCTCTAGTGAGATGGGGGCGAGCATTGCTCGAAACCCTTCTGCAAAGCTCGACAAGAGGGCAAATGATCTCGCAGTCAGGGTATACGATTGTCTGTGTGACGATATCTTCGTACATCTTACCAGCTTCTTCTGAGGTATGTGTAAGTAGGAGCTTCGTGGTACCGAGGATACGCTGAAACCTGCCCAGCCAGAAATGGAAAGACGCGAGGCTGGGGTAGTATGGTGAGCAATCCTATCGAGCAGCTAAGCGCGCCCTTGACCAATATGGGACTTCCTAGAACACTTAGGTGGGCCCTTGGCATATGCGATGAGTTTGAGTCGGAACCACAAAGGCAGGCAGCCTGTCAGCCTGACTGTCACTCTCCCTAGCTTATCGCGAGGCGCAAAAGGACAGATCGGGATTCCGCTGGTGCGCTTTACAGCTTAGGCGTCAAGGGAGGCCGGCGTTGTCTCGACAGGCAGCGGACCCATGAGATGAAAAGAAAGACGGACGAAGGAGAGTTAATAAATAATTCGTCGGCGGCCCGCACCCAGCTGTTCGAACGTATCCGTCAACGGCACAGATCGAGAGAAGCCTATACAGCAGGTTGTTGTCCGCATCCCATTAATCAATATCTGGACGTGAATTTGCTGAGCCGTCTAACGAAAGCTGTGAATATAGATAACTATGTAAGGACGCCGAACGACTCCCAGGAACGAAGAGTCTCGAAGCTATCCACACTGCCGCTGGCCCCGAACGGTGGGGAAGGCCGGCGTTACCTAGCCCGTGCCCGAGTCGCGAGAGGCGTAGGGAGCGCGGTGGCATGACCCTCGTCCGACTTACCTACTTGGTGGTAGGGGTAATTTTCGTTAGCACCCGCCGGATAACTACTTGTATAATCTAGGGTAGATCGCTCTTCACCTCGGCGATAAGGGACGAGAAGAATGCTTACAGGGATTCGCCCAACCATGGCTATGAGGCGCCCCCTTCATAAACATCAACTAGAATCGGTTGCCAAGTTATGGTCTTGGCCGAGGAGATAAATTAGCAACTATAGGCGGGTGCCGGGAACAGGGCCCCCTGGCCCGGATATGGGCCCAATTAATCCGTTGCTCAGGCTGAATTTGACACTTTGATCAGTCACGTGCCGAACAGGCTCAGGTTTGTGACTGACGGCCCTACCAAGGCTATGTAATGACGGTTAGGGAAGGTACCCCGATGGCCTTCGGCCGAAGGCCATCGGACGGCGCTAGTAGGCCTGTGTAAATTACTCAAGGGTATATAGTCTGACGGTCCCCAGGACCGAGTAGAATTCACCATGTTCCTCCATTGAGTCACAGGTTAAAGCGGCGAGGCTCAGGCCATGCTCAGGTCCAAAGACGGAAATGGAAAGTACACAGCTCGAGATTCCGACGTTGAATCTCCTGTTTCTTGGTCAATTTTTAGTCTTCGCAATCGGAGCCTGCTTGGTCATGTGCCGGTCCCAGATGAGGAACAGGCTCAGGATGAGGCCAGTGAGCGGGAGCGCGAAAGCCCAATACACCCAGATCCGCTGGTTGACTACGCCATTGCCCGAATCGGCATCCCATTGGAAGAACGGTATAGCGAACAGAGACTAGAAGGCAAAAATTCCGTTAGTATTCAGCATGTCAGGGCGAACAAATTTGCTTGACAGAGGGAATTCGATCGGCCTTCTGCAGCGCGCAATGGGCTGAACACATAAGTCGTTCGGATGGACAATGGGCTGAAGACTCACCGATATGAAAGTCCCGGGCAGACAGCAGATGGTCACCACTGCGAGGGCTTTCATCGAGGTGCTGTCTTTCTTGCTTTCCTCGGCGATGGATTTAGACGTGGACGCAATTCCGATACTCTGGTTCTGATCCCGTTGAGCGATGAGGTTAAACAACCCTTGGATCTGGATGTCCGCCTTCTTTTGCCAGGAACCTGCCTCCTCCCTCAATGCCAGTGCACTCAGAACACAACAATTCGCATGCTGAGTGATGTAAGCATTACTCCGCAGCCACTGGTCTCCGCCGTCATGAACCTGGGACTGTCCTAGCCGATCACATTCCTGGACTATGAATTTCGCCAATCCGTATAGGCCTTCCCAGCAGTAGCGGTTCGTCGCGATATTGGCCGCAACTCCGCTCACAATGGCAGAACGCTCGCCTAGCTCAGTGTCAATCACCCGCCGTCTTTCCGCGATGTCTAGATCGTGGTGGAAGCCACTGTCCCGAGCGGCTTCCACAACCCGACCAGCGTGGATGTTCAGCCAATTTTCGATTTGTGGTGCAATGTGACAGTGAGCCAGTAGGCCAAGAAGCATAGGGTGCCTTGCAAGGGATCTATGTGCGAATAGGTCGTCCCTAAGGGCCGTGGTTATACGTCCTGCCTGTGGTCCGAAATGACTGACGATGCCGCAAATAGCCTTGGATTCGTACCCGAATGCCCACACCATGTCGAAATCCGCGGCTGCGACTCGATAAACATGGAAATTCTGGAGAGAGGAAGGACTTGCGGCTTCCTTCGACAGACGTGGCGTAAGGGTGGCGTAAGTTATTGCGTCCTTCCCTGGATTCGAGGGGACATGTAAGTTGGCGAGGATTTGCAAACCAACCGTACGTAAATATGATTGGCGTAGTGTGGGGTTTCCATCTCCTCCTTCTGGCATCGGCTGGTTGCGCAGGGTCCTTGTCGTTGTGATCAACGATTATGAGCTGCAAAGCATTGTCCGCTGTGATTGAAGGCTCTCGGACATGTTCCAAAGACTGATTGAAATGGTTCAAGATCTGATCGTCGTCTATTCCATACGAATTCAAGGTCCACCGCCCCTCTAGTTCCTCGGAGATAGTGTCAACATGAGCTTTGTACGTATACGAAGTACGAGTGTTTCCTGGCTCTGCCGGTAGTGCTGTATGTTCGACACACTCGACACGCTCGACAACCTGGAATCGAGGAATACCGATATACTGGTTGCGTACGGAGCATTCCTCAATTGAATCTTCAGCTGGACAGGGGCTTGATGACACCTGATCCTTTGTCGTCATTCTGAACGAATATGCAGACTATTGTCTCACCAGAAAAATCTAGAATGATGGGGAGATGATGAAAAAGGTGCCTTCCTTGTCATATGCTGCTAGATCTACATATGATCAGGTGCGGCTGAACATGTCAACTTGGCATGCCAGCTGGCGCCTGCTCTAGGCGGCTTGGCTGATCGCCTTGAGGTTGACCTTGTGACATCTTTCGTAGCAGATATGGATGACAATACTGAGTACTTGCTACCTACAGACATTGGTATCGGTTCTCGATGAATAGTGACTTTGCTGGAGCCACCAGGGAGGGAATGTGGTAACAATAACACGAAAAGTGAGGGTACGGAGTGTAGAACTAACTTCATGAATTGATTGATTGTTCTATCTAGTGGGAACGGTCGCACGGCAGTTTGACTTGCCGGCGTGTAAAAACTAGCCGGATAACCTTCCTAATCAGGTTAGGGCAATACGGAGGGGCATCAACGGCTTGATGTGGTCACTTATCTTTAGTCTCTTTTGGGCTTCAGATGCAGAAATTCCGCGCATTGATATTGGAGGAACGGTACAGCCTTGCGACGCGTCGTGCTTGATTCCGGGAGAGGAGTGAGAAGCCAGCCTCGCCAGATAGGAGAACATACTACGAATGAGATGCAATATGGAGCTCTGTCTTGGCGGGGCCACTGTGGAGGGATACAGCCTTGGCAATAGGAAGTCGCTAACAAGCCTAGGCCCGCCAATAGGAATCGCCTCAAGAATTCTCACCCGCCCGCCACATGCGCAGCCCCCTGCAACGTGCCCAACGGTCCCTGTACCACCTCCTGAAGAATCATTGCTCGAGTTCGATTTCAACACCTTCTCCAACAATGACTCGATGAGACGGTGGCAGCCGGGTGGCACAATCACTACATTGGACTTGCATCGTCTATTTCACCACTTATTCAAAGTCATGACTACGTAGAGAAATCTCTTGCGGAACACATCTCCCGTCAACCCATTCAGCCCAGGCACCATGGGCCCTATCGAGTTGAACAAGCGACGCATCATCCTCCTCATCGCCAGTATACTCGCCTTCTACATCGTCTTCCATGGCCTCTCATCCTCTGGTAACGACTTCCGGGACGTCGCTTCCCACATACCCATTCCAGGCCATTTGAACCCTACCGAACATAAACTACCCCCTTCAGCGCCCGATCCAGACTCTATATGGGACTTGGGACCTGATCCTTCTCCTGCGCCCGAACCTGAGCCTGAGCCTGAACCCGAGCCGGAGCCTGAGTCCGAACATGAGATTGAAACCGAGAAACCGACCCCTCCCACCTCTCAACCTATCGAGCACTTCGACTTGCACCCGATTGCCCAGTTGATGCAAGAAGCCGACGATGCGTGGCGGACCTACGAGACAGGGATTTCAACAACCTTTAGGCAGACGGTGGAGAAATACAGGAGCAAATATGGCAGACATCCTCCGCCGGGATTTAAAGACTGGTATAAATTTGCACGGAAGAGGAATGTGTTCAATGTCGACGATTTTGAACAAGTCATGGATGACCTGCGCCCCTTCTGGGCGATCAATGCTTCCCAAATCCGCATCCATGCCGCCCACATGTGGGAAAACCCCGACTTTGGTGTCTCGGTCATTCATATCCGTAACCACAAGGTGGTCAGGGTGGACAACCCAAGTTGGAGATCCGAAACCATGGAGAAAGTCATCGAGAAGTTTATCAAATTCCTTCCGGACATGGACATTCCTATGAATAGATTGGATCAACCGCGGCTTATTGTGCCTTGGGAAGACATGCAAGAATTATTGGAAAAGGAGTACCACACACGCGTCATGGCGCCCGAGGTCACCGACAGCTTTACCAAGGATCAACCGGAACTCCTGGATATGAGCTTCGAAGACAAGGAACTGGACCACTCCACTAGACTGAGTGAAGACTGGATCTTTGCCGCCGGTCAGCAGTACATGAAACTTGCAGCCAAAGGCTGTCCTCCAGAATCTCCCGCACGGGCGCAGATGACTGTGGCAGAGGCGGATGCTCTGTACAAGGAGCCCACGCTTGGATTTGTGAAGAACTTCAACCTCTCGACCGACCTTTGTACAGTTGGTCCGACTATTCAAGATCTGCATGGCATGTTGTATTCCGCAAGCAGCATCATCGCTTCCCACAAGCTGGTGCCCATCTTTGGCGAATGCAAGGTTAGCGTCAACAACGATATTCTCTTCCCAGCAAACATGTATTATCAGCACGACGAGCGATATGATTATGATGGGGAGGAAGATGTTGATTGGCGCGACAAGCAAGATAATACCATCTGGCGCGGCGTCACTTCTGGTGGTGTCCAACTCGAGGATAACTGGGACAGAATGCACCGGCAAAGGCTTGTTCAGCTTTTCAATGGCACCTACATGCTCATTACCGGGAAAGAGGTTAAGACTCTAACAGAGAAAGATGATGGACCGGGCAAGGTGAACACCACTTACGAGCTTTACGATCGATTCAAGCCATCACAGTTCGCCGATCGTCATAGCGATATCGGCTTCACCGAGCCAATGTCCTGTCTCCCGAATTGCTCGTTCTACAACAGCGTTTTCTCTTGGAAGCCACAAGTCCCGCTCACTTCACAGTTCAAATCGAGATACTTGATCGATGTCGATGGACACTCATTCTCAGGCCGTTGGCACGCTTTCCTACAAAGCAAGAGTCTGGGACTTAAGGCTACTATCTTCCGCGAATGGCACGATAGTCGACTTCTAGCATGGAGACATTTTGTTCCCGTGGACAACCGATACGACGACATATACGGGCTCCTGACATACTTTATTGGATATGGCAAACCCTACAAACAGCACGCCGAGGAAGGCGAAGACCCGAATCCCCGTGTCTTCGTTGCTCGGCATGATAGAGAGGCACAGAAGCTCGCTCGGCAGGGCCGCGAATGGGCAAACAAGGTGCTGAGAAGAGAGGATATCGAGGTGTACATGTTCCGGCTACTTCTGGAGTATGGACGCTTGACTGATGACAATCGAGACTTTATTGGTTACTCCGGCGATGGCAGTGAGTTGGACAAATTTGATGAGGGTGAAGGAGACGAAAGCAGATGGGGCATTGGAGGATGGTGAAGATCCTTAAATCGAGACTTCTAAGAAGAATGGCGCAGATTCCGTTCCCACAACCCAAGTCGGATCCATCCTCCACAGGGAGATCCTGCTGTACATTTTGTGCCGTCAATCAGCTATGTGCAGAGCACAAGCGCGACCACCAGCAGCAGTGTACAGGAAATCTAGGGAACAGAACGCGCTCATCTCTCGACCAGCGTGATACCAGCGCTGGAGACCGAACCGCGACGCAGCCTCCACAATTGCCCCCCATTTGGTATAAAGCAAATGCGGATCTTGGTTGCACGTTGAAAGGACACAGTCAGAGGCTGGAAAAGGAGACGTGGAAAAAGGCCGCGATGTACTATACAACGAATGAGCGTTTGACGGGTTTGGTTCCTTTTTGGCTGGCGCACTCCCAATGCTAATGGGATAGAGGCTATACCGAGTACATAGGCACGCAATAAGCGTCTAATAAATCTGTTAAAACAGGCGGACGGTGACAGAATGGAAGCAAGTCTGAACTAGACCGCGTACGGAGCATATAGATCATCATTAACAAAGCCCTGGTGGTTAGTATAAGGCTGTACAATCACACCAAAGCACTGGAAGGACACGCTCCAAATCAAACAGTGGTCATCGTGACATCGAGTCGACATGTGGCTCTTGTTGCCGAAGGTGCATCGACTGCGGTGGGTTCTATTTCTTCAACTTCTTCTTCAGCCTCTTCTCCGCCCTCACATCCTTCTTCAACCGGGGGTCCACAATCTTGTATTTGCCCTTGACGCCCCTCGGCCGGCCGGCAACGCCGCGATTCGCCCCCCTTGCCACGACCAGCTTGACTTTCTCCTTCGGTCTCCCTTTCTTGGCCGCCCGCGCCATCATCCTCGAAATGGTCGAGGCCTTGTCCTTTTCGCTCACGCCCTCGTCTTCGAGCAGCAGCGCGGATTTCTTGCGGAGCTTCTCCAGCCTCTGGGCGGCCTTCATCTTCTTCCGCCCTTTCGCCTCCAGCACCTTCTTGATGGGCCGGGCATTCAGTGCGCGCATCTTCTCCTTGATAGCTGCCGCCGCCGCCTTCGTGATTGGTCTGATCGGGCGAGAATGTCGGTCTTCGTCATCCAGGAACCACTCGGGGAGGCCATCGGTGTCGCGGAAGGTATATTTGTTGAAATTGTCATCAATCAGGTCTTTGGATGTGGTTTGCTTAGTCGCGAGAGAGTGAGCGAGAGTCATGGCTTCAGCGGTGATGATGTCGATATCCAAATGACCAGATGGTGTTAATGGGTCTTCGGGACGTGGGGGGTTCGCAGTTGACGAGGTGTTATTCTTAGGTGTAGACTCAACCTCAGATTCCGAATCAACGTCTGCTGATTGAAGTGATGCCCCTTGTTGCTTCAATGCTGACTTGAGAGGTTTTTGTTGCCGCTCTTTCGAGGTGTGAACTTTTGCGGCGACAGAGTCTGTGTGATCTGATGAATCGTCGTCCATCTCAATCGCACTATCCTTGTCCAAGTTTTCTTGGCCATCATCAATGCCCAGGTTTTGAAAAATGTCTTGGTCAAAGAACATGGCTGCTTTGGTGGAGAGACCATCACTTTTCGGTATTTGTTTCATCCGGACGCCGTCTTGCTCGTCGTCAGAGCCCGTGTCAGTTGCTGCATCGCCAGATGTGCCTTCGTCATCGGAAAGACCTTCCCACTCATCAGTCTCTTTCTCTCTCCTTGCTCGCTTTGCTCGCGCCTTTGCGTCTGCCTCCTCCCTTCTTTGCTGAAAGGATTCGTACATCAAGTCGAGTTCCCTTTCAAGCCTGTCGCCAACCTCATCCTCATCACTCTCCGAATCATCCTCCGGGGCTTCTGACTGCGAGTCGTCCTCGTCCAACATCTCGTCATTGGCGTTCTGAACAGCATTCTGGGCCTTATCAGCCGCTTTGATGCTGAACATGGATTCTTCAGCCCCAGGGCCACTCTGCTCCAACCCAATGTCATACGGCGCAGTCATGTGCATCTGCATCCGTACAATCTCTTTTCGTTTCCTCTCATTTTCTTTCCGTCGCTCCTTCTTCTTTTCCTTGGTGTCTTGATCCTTCAACCTCTGCAGTTCTTCTTGGAGTTTGAGTTCTTCTTCCATCGATTCCACCTGCGCCACCTCTTCTCCTTCCTGCTCTTTGGCCTGCGTCTCCTGCACTTGCTTTTTAGCTTTGCTTGAGAGCCCAAACTGATCGCGGACTTTCAGCCGCCACCGAAGTAACGTCCGGAATTCTTTCTTCCCTAACACTTTCAAGTCTGCGCAGCATTGTCGGATTTCGGCCGTCGTCTCTGGTAGTCGGCTGATTGTGGCTAACGCGAGATCGCCGTTGGGAGGCTGCTCGAAACTGAGTTTGTTCACTGAACCTAGAATCGCAATCGGGTCTGTAGTATGAATGAAATCGGTGACCGGGACTTCTTTATGTTGTGTCCAATCTCCTTCTTCATAACCTTCTCGTTTCCGTTTCTTCTTTTCGGGGTTGAAAACCTTGGCTTCATTGTTCGGTGTGGGATCCTGCAACTCGGCGAACACATGTTTCGGATCCAAGAACTTGGGGTCCAGTTTCTTGGGCGCCTTGAAACCTCTGCACACCACAAATATTTCTGCAGATACGTTTCTGGATGAAGGCGGTTTTGTAGCCTCGACTGACGTAAAGAGTTGCTTGAACACCCAAAGCAGCGCGTTATAGTCCTTCGACCTAAAGACTTTCGTGACAAATGTGCCTCCTTCTTTCAGAAACTCCGTCGCCAACTTCATGGACTGCAGGACCAATTCCGCTTGCGAGAAAGCGTCCTGTACCCATGCCACACCGACGTTGGGTGCCCCGTCATGGAGTACAGTGTCCGCTTTCATGTGTTTCAGGTGCTGTCGAATAGTCGCTCGGCATTTGTCTGTGGTGATATCGCTCTGAAAGGAGATGACACGAGGGATGGGCTTGATGGGAGCCAGATCGACACCGACAATCAGACTTTGCGCAGGCATCGTCTCGGCCGCAACTTGACACCAGGATCCCGGTGCGGCGCAGAGATCCAGCAGCACCCGACTCTTTTCCAGGAAGCCATATTTCTTGTTCAGTTGGATCAACTTGAAGGCCGCTCGAGCTCTGTATCCCTTCTCTTTGGCGAGCTTGTACCATTTGTCTGAGAGGAAGTCAGTTGAGGTCTCCACAAGCGTACAGCGAAATCAGTGGCGGAGCGCATACCAAGCCGTCCTTTGCCGTGCTTCTTTTGAATCGCCATTATGAATGACAATCCAGAGGCTTACCAACAGCAGCCTCGGCGATACTGCTCTCGGACACTTAGATGAGTGTGCACAACCGGTATGAGCGTTGCATGCACTTTTTGATCTTGGACTTGGAAAATTCGAGCCAAGATCGGATAAATTTAGGGTGGGGCGATCTGTTTTCCGAGTGAAGTGTTGCTTGCTGCCCTACACAGATCTAGGTTGTGATTGGCGCTGGGGTTCTTTCGATTGCGGAGTTCATCGTTGACAAAAGCGGCGCCATTAAAATGATGATCCTCAGCCTCGAACGTCCCATTCATGCCAAAATGCTCGAGACCACGAACAATCCTCCGTATTTGGTATTTCACTCTGAATACTATAAAGTCGAGGCCACACGGTTTTCATGCGATAATCATCCTTTGGAATTACTTCGAGGCTTTCTTTGCAGCTCTCTGTGACCTTCAACGTTAGATTTCTAACCTTTGGGCTGAAGGTCCATGTCAAATCGAGCGCGTCTTTGCAGACGAAAGGCTGTGTAGCCAGCAAGGAAGAGTGAGAGTGGCTAGATAGCATGACCTGAAGTGCCCCAGTGTTCAACATGGTCCCTGAAAAAGGTTGGTATGAAAACATTCTCTTTGACCGGACCAGCGTACATTGAAGGGCTATTCTCACAAATATTGTACAACCTTCTCGGGCACCTGAAGTTTATTCGCAACCTTCACATCCTTCAAGGATTTCTCAAAAGTGAACACCGTTCCGTTCTCCTTGAATGTTTGTTCCTTACACAGCAAGCTGAGTAAAGCAGATCTTTCAATCACTACCCGTCCGCTAGTGAGTAGATCCTTCACGTCCACGTCCTCAATGTCTTTCAGATCGCCGTGCTCGCCAATCGTTTCCATCTCTTCGAAGATCCGTGCTCCGGCCGATTCCAAGGTGCTTGTGACGAGGAGGCTCCGGCCGTGTCCCTGGCCCCAGCGGTTGGCTTCGAAAATGTTATTGAGAAACCGTGCGCTGTTTCCTTCCGGCAGATTGATCTTATCGTTGAGGATGATCAACTCGTTTCTCCTGAATCGATAACTTAATGCGATCCGGAATGCCTGGTGATAGACCTTCTTTTGTAACTCGGTCGAGAAATCTCTCGGCTTCGGGCCGAAGGCGACACCACCTCCTCTTCTTATCGGGGACTTTTTATCTCTGACACGGGCGCGGCCTGTGCCCTTTTGCTGGTACAGCTTGCGGTTGGATCCGTGGACTTCGAAACGCCATTTCGTGCTCGCCGTGCCTTGGCGTGTCGCGTCCGCTTCATAGACCACGGCGCGGTGAAGAAGGTCTCGGCGCAAGGGGGCGTCGAGGTAACGTGATCCATACAGAGCATAACGAGCAGGTTCGATGTGAGGCCAAGAGTATAGGGTTGCTAGGACCGGATGGTCTAGGGCGTGGAGCTCGGCGGTGGATGGAGTGGTTGATAAACCTGGCGTGGGAGTCTGAATCTGTGAGGAATCATGACTTGATTCGAGGTGCTTGGTGAGCTCGGAAATCGGCAGCTGAGTCTGAGAGGCGAATGTTCGACAACCTAGCCTGGGTGCCAGGCATTGCTATGATTGAGTTAGTAAAGATTCATGCGACAATTGTGAAGACTTCATACTGTCAAAGGGTCGCCGAAATTAAGCTGGTTGAATCTTCTTGCGAGCCCCAGCAGACTCCTCGATGCTGATGTGTGAGGCATCAATTGAAGCACGCAGAAGATACAGAGAGACGGCTAGGCACTTCCTGTCACTTCCCTTATTACGCGATGAAAGATGGACAGAAAGTTTCTAAGTATCCCAAATCATTGGAAGCTAAGTTCGCAGCCAAAGTTTTAGAGAAGCAGGGACTGTCACGTGGCGCAGCCTCGTAAATAACGTGACTGTCAACCTCCCATTGTGTCCAGCCTCGCGTCCTTCTTTCAACCAAACGCCGAACGACTGACGCCACTTTAACATTATCTGCAAGCCAATTACTGTCAGCCGTCTCTTGGTTCTTCTCAAGGCTGCACTCTTCAATTCTTTACTGTAAGAAAGTCCAGAAATATAGGGAATATCTTTCGCTGATCGGTCCCGTCTGAGGAATTGTGTGCAAGGCCTGATCTGATCCTGGCGGCCGGATTGACCGTATAACGGGCAAACAAATCGCTTGGATCTGAGGCAACGCAAACGCCGCCTGGTTCAGTCCTGTGGCCTTTGATGGCAGGTTTAACTATTATCTGCTTCTAGCGTTGTACTGACAGACCGATAAACAAGAGCAGCAGTTTCCCCATGAGACCCCAATGATGGGTCACGGCCTATATATCCGGGTTCGCGAATACTAAATTTAGATGTACTGCCTTCAACACAGAGTAGGCTTCTAAGCCTGCCTGGCCTAATTCACGACCAATTCCAGACTGCTTGACACCCCCAAAGGGTACACGCAGATCAGAGTTGTTACTTGAATTGATCCATACCATGCCCGTCCGTAGGTCTCCTGCCACTCGAATAGCTCTGGTTATATCATTGGTGAAAACCGCACTGCCGAGTCCATATTCAGTGTCATTTGCGAGTTTGATAACTTCCTCTTGTGAGTTGAACTTGGTGAAAGTTACAAAAGGGCCAAAGATCTCCTCTTTGTAAACTCGCATGGACGGATTAACTCGGCTAACAATGGTGGGTTCGATGTAGAAACCCTTTCCATTTGGTCGATTAGATGCCGCTTGTCCGCCCTTGAGGATCAGCGCTCCTTCGTCCTTTGCACTCTGCACATAGGACAGAATTTTGTCGTATTGGGCTTTGGATACTTGTGGTCCGTGCCAGGTCTTTTGATCAAATGGATCCCCAACGATCGAGATTTTGTCGGTGTACGCAATGAAAAGCTTGACGAAGTCGTCATAGATCTTTTCGTGGACGAATACTCGAGAGGTGGCGGTGCAGATTTGTCCCATGTTAGCCATGATTCCAAAATGCGTCCACTTCACGGCATTCTTCAGGTCGGCGTCATCGAAGACAATCAGCGGTGATTTACCGCCCGTCTCGAGGGTGATGTTCTTCATAGAGCCTGCCGCAGACTTCATGATCGCTTTCCCTGTTAACGTACTTCCAGTAAAAGCAATTTTATCGATGTCCGGGTGTTCCACAATAGCCGCGCCGGTCTCGCGACCCAGACCATTCAAGATGTTGACAACCCCTGGCGGGAATCCAGCTTTGACGATTAGATTCGCCATGTAAAGCGCTGAGAGAGGAGTTTGCTCTGCAGGCTTTAGTACAGTTGTGTTCCCACAGGCGAGACAAGGGCCAAGCTTCCATGCGGCCATTGCCAGGGGATAGTTCCATCTGAGAGAACGATGTATCAGTATGTCCTTTCAGGGTTCTGTGGGCTCGATCTTTTGAGTGGATTATGAAGATGAAGGTCATGAAGATGGCGGATACTCACGGAATGATTTGCCCGCAAACACCAACTGGTTCACGGACAGTGTAGGTGAACTTATGGCGCTCGGTCTCGATCGTTTGACCGTAGTTTTTGTCTGCCCAGCCACCATAATATCTGAAAACAGAATAAGCCTCTTCGATGTCGCCGAGGGCCTTCGTGTATGGCTTTCCGCTATCCATTGCTTCGATCGTTGCAAGAGTCTCTTGTTCCGCCTCGACCAAGTCGGCAAGCTTCATCAGCAACAGTCCACGGGCTGTTCCCGCCGTCTCTTTCCAAGGGCCTTCGAACGCCGCTCGAGCGGCGTTGACAGCATTGTCAATCTGCTCTGCCGACGCCGTGGAGACTGAGCAGATCTCTTCTTCTGTTCTGTAAACTTTGGTCAGAAAAATCGCCTTTTACGGCCTCGACGAGTCTGCGCCAAAGCAATGACTACTAGATAAAGGAACAGTTGCTTCTTACGCCGGATTAATACTGGCTAGCCTTTTGTTGGCTGGCGCCTCGATCCACTTGTTGTTGATGAACAGTCCCGTCGGTTGGAAGAACTCGCGACCGTTTGGTGCTTTGATTGTCACGCCTGGGGGAGACATTCTGCGAATATTGAGACTGTGTCGCAATATGAGGCTATTATCAAAGTCAACAACTGTGTTTGGGGAGCGAATGATTGAGATCTAAGCAGTGAGGGACAAGCATAACAACCTTTATCGCAGTTGAACTACTCCCGCTGTGGAACCTTTGGGCCAAGGTTCTAATTCTTTGTCTTGCTCTGTATGCATGTCTTGTACATCCAACGAGATGTTCAATACTTATTCCAGCGGGGATCCGAATGTGGACTCGGATTTGGCATGAAAAAGGTAGAAACTGTGGTCATCGGAGAGGCCGTCGACATGTTCACTAAAACGTCCTATCGTTTGAAGATGTTCAGACGATTGATTGCCGTGCGATAAGGTAATAGCGAGACATTATCGGTCATGCAAGAGCCAGAGAGATTTAGTGCCTGATCTCGAAGGCGAGCCATCGCGTCTCCACATCCTTGCCTTCTTGGGACGAATCGCGAGGCGGCCGCTCAACGCGTTAACCTTCTGACCCATAGTATTCATATAGGGTCTTAGGCGTGAATTATATGAAGCAGGTCCCATTGGCAACACATGAGTCGTATAATCGCCCCGTTCAGTCTCGTCAATCTACCAGAATAGGAAACCCACGGAAGCTCCCGATACAGCAACCTCTTCATTTACCTGTGTGCGTGAGTCTTGAAGCATGCCATCTCGGGCATTGACCAATATCCCACAAAGCAGCCGCTTCGGCGGTCAGTGTCTCCCAGGTCTCTGTTGCTGAGAACAATTTGAAGTAGGCTTTAGGGGTGCATGAGTCGTTGGGCTTCTCATCGAACAAGCGACACTCAAGGCACAATACACTTATCTGGATGACAATTTGGTTCTTGCCTTTATTATGGCCGCGATTCACCTGGATGCCGTCGTTGTGGGTGCGGGTTTTGCCGGAATCTATCAGACGTACCAACTGAGGAAGCTTGGTTTCGATGTCAGGTGTATAGAAAAGGGCGACGGCGTGGGAGGTACTTGGTACTGGAACCGTTATCCAGGAGCGATGAGCGACACCGAAACTTACTTGTACCGGTTTTCCTGGGACAAGGAAGATCTCATAAATTATCCATGGACCAGAAGATATGTCTATCAGCCAGAGATCCTCGAGTATCTCAACCATGTCGTCGATAAGCATAATCTTCGAGGTCACATTCAACTCAACACCGAGATGAAATCTGCCGAGTGGGACGAAGAGCATCGCTTCTGGAAGGTCGTTTGCGCAGGTGACACTGTTTTCATCGCAAGGTACTTGCTCAATGCTCTAGGCCTGCTCTCAACACCGAACTTCCCATCAATTCCAGGGATAGACAAATTCCAGGGCCATCTAGTTCATACAGCTTCGTGGCCCGCCAGCCTGAATCTAAAAGGAAAAAGCGTTGGGGTCATCGGGAACGGTTCAACTGGCATCCAAGTTATGACAGCGATTGCGCCTATTGTCAAATCTATGACCTCCTTCCAACGTCATCCGCAATATTCTGTCCCTGCAGGTCAAAAGACAATCTCAAAAGAAGACCGGCAGCATATCAACGACAATTATGATGCAATATACGAAAGTGTTTGGAAATCAAAGAGCGGATTTGGTGTTCCAGAGGTTTCGACTCCAGTCATGTCAGTATCGCCGGACGAGCGACAACGTATTTTCCAGTCTCTCTGGGATCAGGGCAATGCTTTCCGCTTCAGCTCCAGCGGATTTGGAGATATCACCACGAATGAAGAGGCAAATAGGGAAACTTGCAAATTCATCCATTCCAAAATTGATGAGATTGTCAAAGACCCGGAAAAAGCAAGGGTACTGAAGCCAAAAGAGCTATACGCTCGCCGTCCAGTGTGCGATACTGGCTACTACCAGATCTTCAATCAGGATAATGTCGAAGTCATTAGTCTTCAGGAGACTCCTATTATCTCAATGACTCCGACGGGGATTGAGACCGCTGATGGCAAAATTCATGAGCTCGACGTTCTGATCTTCGCAACCGGCTTTGACGCTGTCGATGGCAGCTATTTGAGAGTGAATATCCAAGGGAGAAACGGCAAGACACTGAAACAGCACTGGGAGCATGGGCCTACCGCTTTCGCTGCAGTTAGCATGTCTGGATTCCCAAATATGTTCCTCATCACCGGACCACAAGGCCCCTTTGCAAATATTCCCTGCGCCATCGAGAGCGAAGTGAACTTCATCACCGAGTGTATTAGATACGCAGAATGTATCAGCAAGGCCAGGACGAATTCGGCTACACCGCGACCACTGAAGATAGAAGCGAAGCCAGAGGCTGAGGATGCCTGGCAAGAGCTTTGCATCCAAGCTTGTGAAGGGAGTCTGTTAAAAACTGCTGCGAGTTGGATATTTGGTGAAAACATATCGGGGCGAAAGCCTGTGGTGAAGTTCTACTTTGGTGGCCTCAAAAGCTACCGCGACTTTACTGCAGAAGAGCAGATGAAAGGGTTTCCCTCGTTTTCGCTAGATTGACAATATAGAACCGTAACAACTGTCAAGGTGGAAAGATATAGGAATGAGTGGGAGTTAACACAGATACATGCAAGACGTACAGATCCTGTAAGTACGCGTCAGAATCTCAAAGTTAATTAGCCCGAGCAAATTTGCGTCTTGATTGCGCTATATCAAAATATCTCCCACCAGAATGGGGTTCGGTGAACTGCCCAGGTAATCAAGCCTACAAGCATAATCTGTCCAAACACCAGTGTGAGCTCTCATAACAATGCTCGAAGGTGTTTCTCAGAGCCCTCAATCAATGTCAATCTAGACGATAAACGGATCATCCTTTCGGGGGTAATCTGATATGGAATGGGGAGCTCAGGGGATGTCTTTCCCAGTAACTGCTTGGCCACGGCTTTACCACATCCCCAAGCATTTACCATGCCGTAGCCACCGTAGCCTGCGGAGATCCATTCAGCGCCGGTCTGCCTTTGTCCAACCCGGCGAGAACCAAGTGCTTCCTGGGGCAGCATACCTACCATGGGCACGCCGTCGAGCGAGTTGCATAATATACCAGTCCATGAAGCCTCCAGTATTTGTTTGCCCGGCCTTTCCTCTCCCCAACCGTCTTTGCCAAAGATCACCGGCAGGATTCCAGTCAGATGACTTTTCGCAGGAATAGATTCTTCTGCGTCGGAGGCAATACCATGAATTGCCAGGCCGCCATCAATGCCACTCAGTTCACCGCCGCCAATGAATATTTGGCCCGTGTGAGGATTCTGACTGAGATAGTCAAAGCCATGCTCGTAGTTGAAGCTGTACGACCGTTTGCCTTTGTAGTCCTTGTAAGCTCTACCAGGATTCTGCACACTCATCTGCCCGCGCCGGGGTACTAGAACACCACGTAAATTCGGAACGAGGTGTGCGGTATGACCTTCGGTACAATGTATAACGTGCTTCGCCCGCATCGATCCTCTAGGAGTGGTGATCACATAAGGGAGGCTAGAAGCAGAGTCTCGCGAGATCTGAAGCACTGGTGTGTTGGTTTCGATGGAGAACCGGTCACCATTTTCACTGAGAAGTTTGGCGAAAATGCTGGTTACCAGACGATATGCCCAGACACCTCCGGTTCTGCTGACATATGCCCCTTTCGCCCCGCGTAGCCCATAGATCTAGTCAAGCAGATCAGTAAAAACGCGTTGACACAACACAACCAGTTCAAGGTAAGGCATCGTACTTCTTGTACCTCGTCCTCCAGCATTTTCCATTGGCCCACCAGATCCGGAAAGGCAGCTTCAAAGTTTGCGTGCATATCTTTGAATTGTTGTAGCTTGTGGTCACTGAAAACAGTGGCGATGGTCTCATCGCGTCGCACTTCCGTTTTCCTGAAGAGATCGGGGCCAAGTTCTTGGGCTGCAGCTGCGATTTCATCGTAATGGCCCAGTTGAAATCTCACGATTTTTTGGCCGGCTTCATCCCCAAAAAGCCGGCGGTATTTGTCGTAGTCGCGCACGGCGATACAAGTGATCCTTCCTCCATTCCGACCCGTTGCCCCCGAACATACCTCGCGTGCTTCCAGGACCGATACTGTGCCACTGAGGTCGCTCCCTAGGAGTTCCTTTGAGACACTACAGGCTGTCATGCCCGATCCGATAATCACGATGTCGCGCAGCGACGGTAGCTCCTTCGATTTGATTCCCATAAGTTTGTCATGGCCGGGGTTCTGCCAAAACGACCTTGTTGGATTGGCTACTGGGAGACCGGGATCTTTCAGCAACTGATCATACATGCCTTTGGTTTGGGATTGAGCGTCACAAGTCTAATTCGAAAACCAAGACATGAAAGAGGTGGTAAGCAGATTGAAGCCGATGGATGCTCTCCTCTACTTCAGCAATAGCATCAGTCTGTCTGTCCGATAAACATTCGCTTTGTACACAGTATATGGGTGGTGATCTGAACCCCACACCGGGGCCGCTAGGGGCTTTCGTTTTAAGCTGGGCGTTCGCTAGCTTTAACACCTAGGTACGCTAGAGCATCTTCGCCTACCGCATTGGGCCTGATTGCGAAGACCCGCCCGTATCTCCAACTGGTGATTCGAATGCTCTTACCTCTTTAGGAGGTCAAGGGCCCACCGTAGCCCTGATTCGAGCTCCACCTAGTAAGTATTCTTCGAATACGTCTAAGAATTCCATTCCTTGTGGTCACCCAGAGGCCAGACAACAATATCCAACTGAATGACCGGCCGGGGGACAAATAATGCAGATGCTCTAGGCCATTGTCTGTGGATCCGCGGCTGCCAAAGTCTGCAACGGTTGACGCGTCCTGATCGTGTACGCTGCGCCGCCAGAGCCGGGACCGTTTTCGCACAATGTTGGATTTATCTAGACTTTCTACTGATCTTATTTACAGAGATGCCTTAGGAGGCTCAAAAGTATAGTCAGCTACCAGTTTGGCCACTTCCCGACCCAGACCAAAGCTGTAGACGAATCCCCCGGCTTCTGTCCCGTACGCATGGACGACCTTTTGCCCAGAAACAATTTCTTTTTCGACT